AGGTTCATCTCCTCAACCCTCTCTTAGTATCTGTGTGTTAATTAATCAGATAATCGGACACGCCCCCAAATAATTTTAAAATTATTTTTTAATAATAATAACAGTTATAAAAGAGTTATTTTTGAGAGAAACGACATTCTTTTGAGCAATACCATGCTCCTTTTGGAGCACAACTTATCCCTACACATTCATAATGAAACCATTCAGTTTCACAAAGTACATTATCACACGCAATCATTTTCCCGATGTCTTTTCCACCACACCAACAGTATCCTATTAATAAAAACAGTTGTAATTGAAATTTATACTATTACATACATTTGTATAAAATATTGCAATGCAAGCTATATAATTTTTGCATGCATCAAAGTTGTTATATACCAGTTCCCTATATCTGCCTTAATAAACAGAAGGGCAGATTCTAATGCAATGCATGTATTAAGCAATGGACAATTATGAATGGATACCTCCAGAGCTTTCATCAAAATCAGAAGCAGTGTCTAAGATAACAATTATTAATATCTTATCCATTTTACACTATCTCCTGTACCTTGAGAGCTGTCTTGTATAGTACAAGTAACAGATAATAAATGACTTGGAGATGAACCTACATATATTAAATAAAGCTTCAAGCTGCCTACTAGAATGAGAGCTAGGTATATGTATAGTTGACCATGCTTGGACCAGCTAGCTAAATACTATTACAATACTGTGTAGTGAGACTGCTTACAATTATCTATATGTGTACATGCTTAGTCAATGCTATACATGCATACATTACTTTGCTTGCTAGGCTCCCCCCTTACTGTTAATTTATCTGATAATTTTTTTAGTCAAATACACATGTACATGTACCTTTACAATTAGTAATACCTTTTGAACTAAATGCAACATATCTAGTAGTTGAAGCTTGAAGAGATGATACTGTCCATAAAAGGTGTTAGTCAATAATGACACCATAAAATTATTCATACCTTTAGAATTAGTACCAGATGTACCATTAGATTTACCACGTGTACTAAGAGAGGGTTGAGGAGATGAACCTATCAATAAAAGATGTTAATCATTAAACCATTACATAATTCATACCTTTAGAATTAGTACTAGATGTACCTTTAGATTTACCACGTGTACCAATAGAGGGTTGAGGAGATGAACCTATCAATAAAAGATGTTAATCA